GGGGACGAAACGAAAAGCGCTTTTTCCCTTGCCTTTTCTGGATCTCATTGGGTGCCTTCCAAGCCCCCCTGCCCTTCCGCCTTTGGCAGGAGGCTCAAGTGACGTGATTCGTGGCTGACGGAAAAAACTACTACAAACAGTCAAAAAGGGACGTATCCGTGCATCAGAAGTCGGAAGTTTGAGTTGACTGAGGACAGCCAACCCTTCGTTGAGGTAGATTCGGGCACTTTTCTGTGTGTGCCACCTACCTTGAACTAGTATGCGGTCTAAGTTTTGGTGCTTTTGGAACCAAAACGTGGCCCCTCCCCTCCGGAGGGAATAGGGTCGGAACCCCATGTCCTGAATTTGGAGGCCTTCAAGGCAAGAATTGAACAAGGCTCGCCACTTTGGTGGGGAGGGCGTAAGCCGAGTACTGGGGGAACCGGCTTGTTTCCACGCCTTTAAAACTTTCACCACGGGCTCATATCCTAGGACTACACTTTCAGCAGCCCCATGGCGCTTGCCTCCCTTAGTAAATCCCAAGTTCACGAGGGCTTGTCCACTACCTGACCCGAGTTCCACATGGCTTGACACAATGCCCAAGATCTCACCTGTACGCAACATGGTGTAGAACCCCAAAAGTAACGAGACAGCAAAGGAGATCCAACCGTTAAAAATTGCCCACCCCGCCATGGCGTGAACCAGATGCTCCGGCAAGGGCGGTGCGCGGTTGGGTATCTCATTTGTCTGCCACGTCTTCAGGAGCCTCCAGGCTGCCGGCATGTGGGTACGAAGTCCAGGTTGAAGGTCCTGTAAATGAGCCAAAGTATCACATGCAAGGCCACGGCCCTGCCCTGTGGCCCATAGGTGTTCCAGGTAGTCACAAACCAAGGGGTCTAGCCTCTTCTTATCAGTAGGCAATGCGATGCCTTCCTTGCGCAAGAAGCCGAGGAAATGGTCGACTGCCTTGTCATAGCGCTTACGAGTAGCCGGTTGCACTGTCAACTGTCGAAGCGTTCCTAGCTGTCTACGGATCTTTGCTCTATCCTGCTGAGTTCCACCCTCCAACACACGCTTAGGCATGCTTCTGCTTGCCGCGGATGCGAGTACCCCACCGACTTGGCTTGTCAGCAGGGTTGCTATCTGTGTGCACGTAACCCCACAGGATCTGAGAGTTAGAACAAAGCAGTAATGAGTTGATCCGAGACATAGAGCTCCGAAGCTTCTTAGAGCTGGTCCTTCCACGCGTGAGGGCATGTAGGCAAACCAGAGAGTCAGTCAAATGCAGCATGCGCACACCTTGGTGGTGCTGACGCTCCACCCTCCAGCGAACCGCGTTGAGAATCGCCCTGAGCTCCAGCGAGTTGATGTGCTCCCGGCCTCGCGTCCACCTCCACCCTGAGACAATGCGCCAACGCCACAAGCGTGAAGGTACTGACGCGCGAAGCCGATGGAACTTAACCAGCTGCGTACTCGGAGTCGAAATGAGGATATCCTCGCCCTTGAGACTGATGAGGTTTCCCAACTTGAATGCAAGCTCCGCCTCACTTCCCGAAGTTGGAGGCACGCTCCGAATCGGCATGCGTACCAGCCGTCCCTGGAGCGCCGTGCTGCCATCGGCACGACATTTCAAGACAATGGCTTGGGGGCTCAACTCTGGGGAGATGCCCAACTTAGAGAGCAGCTGATTGAGTAGCCACGCCACCACAGGCACGCACCAAGTATTCCCAAGTAGAGTGAGCCGAATATCAGAGTAATGAGCACCCTTGCGTTCTGACTTGCCGCAACATGGGGCTGTGTAATGGAGGGGAAATCCCAACATTACCTCCCTTTCAGCCACCGACGGAACCCGCAACTGGCCTTTCCTGTTGACAACAGCGTGGATCTGCTGATACTGGTACGGCGGGAAGCGATGAAGATCAGAATGCCAACGACTCAACTCCTCCTCGGAACAATGTGCAATCCCGGCGGGCTTCCGCCCTGGCCGCTCAGAAGGTCTTGCTGTTGTGAAGGTGGGGAAAGGCTTGCTGAGCGCCGCCTTAGTCCACCCTGGCTCCAAAACGTCCTCAACCGGCTGCTCTGCCACGAGATGCCAGACAGTAACCTCACCAGAGAGATCACACGTTGCCCCAACGCCTTGGCATAGATCCCATGTAGTCCAGTACAGCCGAGGTCGATGACACCACGATATGCCCCCTGCGTCGATGTGAACTGGGTCAGAGCCAAAGTCATGAGACATGATCCGCCGGTCGGCCGCATCCATCGAGCTGACTGACTCCATCAAGCAATGAACCTGCGCCCAAGGGAAGAACCTGCGGATGAGCTCACGCACCCTAGAGACGTGGGTGAACAGGGAGGACCTTTCATCTCGGAGTGCGCCTTTCCGATCAAAGTTGAGTCCTGAGACCCCTTGACAAGGGGGCCCAGCTCCCAGCACCACCAAACTGCACTGAGAGAAGCGTAGGCTCCACTCTTGAACCAACTCCTCGGAGATGTGCGCGACATCCTCAATGTGGACCACCCCGGGATAGTGTGCTTCTACTACACGCCTGGCCTGAGGGTTCTTCTCAACCGAAATGTACCCTAAGACCTCAACGTCCTGAAGATCCATTGCGACCCTAATGGCACCAATGCCATCGAACAACCCAACAACGAGTACCCCATGCTCAACCAGAGGCAATGGCTCCTGCCCCCGCAACTCTCCTTGTGCCGCCAAACTCCCGAGCGGTGTGAGTCCGTCAGAACGGCAAACTCCTCCTCCTGTTGTTGACGCATCACTGCACGTCACCATGGGATGCATCTGCAACCTGAAATCCATACGGATCAAAGGCAGAAAACTAATGAACCGCAGGATCTCAAGGCGACAATCAACGGGCAGTGGGCGCCACTGGACCCCACCAGGCTTGAAGGATTCAATGAACTTCCAGACCGCATTGAGCGAGCCAAGCGTAGGGCGCCTGAACATCGAGAAGTAGACGAGACCGCCACACACCACCTGGACCTGCCGCTGTGACACCAGCTGCTGCCCACACAAAGTCAGCGCGAGGCTGAGGTACTTAGTGAGCTTTGACTCCTTAGGGAAGGCAATCCCCCGCACGCCATCCACTGTGGCACCTTGCAGTTCCGCATACGCAGAGCGCTCAACCGCCTTCTTCTCGTTCCGAGGCACCTGCCATACCCCGTACTCATGCCGTAGTGCCAGCACTCCCGCCGGCACCGAACCCTCTACCTCAACCATGCCGGTGGCCTGCACCTTCTCGAGCAAGTCGTAGTTGTCGAGGTAGACCCGCCACGAAGGATTGGCCACAGTAAAGGGTCTATCCTTCCGTAGCTCTGACTCAGGAGTGTTGACATGAGCGACACTGTGGGACGACAACTTGACCAGGTTCCGATGGACGTTTTGAGCAAGGCTCACCGAGTTCAGAAAGCCCATAGGCAACACCTGTGAGGCCAAGTAGATGTTGCGTCCTTTGAGGTCCGCGGGAAGGCAGTCATCCGGGACAAGCTTGTTGAAAGCCAGGAACTTGACCCAGCACCTAGGTACAGCCATCGTATAAAAGAAACACTTCACATCTTCAGAGGAGATCAGAAGGTTCTCGTTGGGCTGGAGGAAAAAGGGTGACATCATGCTCCAAGAGGGAAGAGTGTCGATGTCTCCGCCAAGGGGTTGACAGATGTTATTGAGTGGCACCAGATTCATAATCAGGCGACAGATCTCTGTCCCGTCTGGAGTCCATTCCTCCTTGGATACTCCAAACAGGCCGTTAAGGAGCGGACCGCTCCCGGTGTCGAACACCTGATCCTCTTCAAGGAAACAACACACTCCAGCTGACACCAACCCCGTGCAGAGCTCCCCCCAAGCTCCGTCCTCTACCATCACCCGAGGGCCCTTTGTGCTCCCCCACCTTTCACGCGGCTTCAGAAAGGAGTCGAACGACAGAACATACTCACGGCAACCCTGGGTGCAAACTTCGTGAAGCGGGACACGACCTATCTCTTTGGGCAACGCGGGGGACACATTCTCCCAACGAATCCACCGAGCCACTCTGACCTCGTCTCCCTTGTAGTCGATGCCCTTGATAGAGAAGAAAGCCTGCCAGTCAACCCCCACAGTTTGAACTTTAAGTTGACAGAACCGTTCAACCTCTTGCCGGATCATGTCCAAGCACGCACTCTGTCCCGGTGCAACGTCCTCCTCCGAAAGCACTTGTTCGCCCCAAAACGAATTCAAACCAACGGTAACACAAACCACCCAATTCAACGTCATCTCATGAATGTCAGGCCACAAGTTCTTCAACACCCCCATGGAAGTAGGCAAAGGAAAGAAGGCGGCCTTTCCCCTACCAAAGGACTTGCTGCGAAGTGGTGCAACTTCCATGAGTTTCTGAAGAACGATTGCCCCGATTCGATCGACCGGCGTCCCATCAAGATCCAAAGGCTCAAACGCATTTTTCAGTCTCGGTCGGCAAGTGTCCAAAACTTGAAGAGCTTCCCCCGCTGGATCAAAGGGCGGAGGAGCTGGTGGAAAATCATAGCTCCTGGCGACGGCTGACGTAGCCGCCTCATCCACCTTGCCATCACGGTGAGGTGGGTCACAAATTCCCACGCCAGCCTCACCCGTCTCCATCAGCGGCCTTTCATCAAGAGGGCCACGAGGTCCCGACGGGTCCGGCTTCATAGTCCCAGGCCCTTGAAATGGGCTTGCATAGATGGCTGCTATTTCGCTGCCTGCTCTTCCTTCTGCTTCCTGCTGTCTCCTTTCCCTGAGGTGCGGCCCTTGCCCTTGTCGAACTCCTTGCGAACTGGCTGGCCCTTGTCTTTCTCCTTGCCCTTGCCCTTGGAGCGGCGGCCATCCGGCAGGCCTGCCAGATAAGTCACCTTTGCCTCGTCGGCTGCGGCACGTTGGGCTGAGGAAAGCTCCTCCTTTGCTGCAAGGCTCATAGTATCCTGCGGACAAACCTCTAGCCTCTGGGAGACTGACCAGTGAGATCCACTGAGGCTGCTCTCGATCGACTTGATCCTCTGGGCGATCACATCGGCGGCCCGTGCAGGGGATCCCCTGACCAACCAATCCAGTGCTGTGCATAGGTTCACAAGTTCCCGTTGTACTGGACCTGTAGACCGGCGAATGAGCTGCTGCCGGAAGTACGCCAAGCCAACAGGAGCCAATGCTCCCGGGCGATCGGCCGACCCAATCGACTGGAGGAGCCCTGATCTCATGGCCTGCAAGGCTTGAGCAGCCAAAGCTCCCGGAGCGAACTCTGCAATCTTCTGTAGCCTGGTGTCCGGGTCGAAAAGAGTCGAATCCAGAGCCTCCCCATCGTGACTGCTTGAAGCGCTCGATGAGTTCTCCTCTGAGGACCCCGACTTGGTGTCCTTGGCCTTGCGCCCCTTGCGGCGAGCTCTCTTTGCAACTTTCTTTCGGACTTTCTCCTTCGGGTCGAGGCCTGTCCCCGCATAGAGAGCTTTGAGAGGCTTGATGGAGGCCGAACGCGGCTTCCGCCCACTCAGGTCGACCGTGCTCGAAGCCGAAGACGAAGTCCCTGACGCAATGTCCTCTCTCTTGGCTCTCACATCCTTCTTCTCCTTGGCCTTCTTGTCCCCGGAGCTGAGGTCGCCCTTCTTGCGCTTTCGACTCTTCTTGTCCTTCTTCTTCTTCTTGTCCTTCTTTCCCAAGGAGCGGGCCCGCTCCCGTGCCCCGACTGCTGGTTCTCCTCGGCCGGCAGGTAGGTCTTCTCCCCGGGCACGTAGGTCCTTGAGATCGTCGTCGACTGGTTCGACTGTGACCAGATTGTCGATCCAGCCCTCTTCCCAGTCGTCGGACTTCCTCAGACGGGCTTTCACGCAATGGATCAAATCCTCGGCAACTCTGTCTCCTGTACAGTGCGCATCGCACCGGTGTATCCTGACCAACCCCCGAGGCTTCCCCGAGGCGTACTTGAGAAGATTCTCGTTGTTCGTACCCGACAGGTTGGCGTGAAGGTGAACTTGACCGGACTCGATCTCGACTCTGTCCACAACCCCCGCTGCTTGACAAGGTGCTGTGAAGTAGGATCCCTCTGTCACTACCACCTTCACACCGCGGCCCAGCTGCTCGAGCGGAACATCCCTCAATGAAGCCAGTCCACCATCCGACCAGGGCTCCCGATCCCCAGGAGCCCCACCCACCGGAGGAACAACTGCTGGTCGTCGTAGAACACCTCGGGGTCCGATACGTCTGACTGCAGCCTTGGGTTTTGCTTTGGCCTTCACACGGGCCTTCGGCTTTGGTTTTGCTTTGGGCGGCATTCTGTTCAGTACCGTCTCCAATTGTACCCTCGCTCACGGTGCTTGACTCCCTTGGTGCCCCTAGGGCGACGTTGGATTGTCCAGGATGGGCTCCTCGAAGGGCTCCTCGGACGGTCTGCACTCGCGTGGTGCGGGGGAGGATAACTGGGCTCCACAGGTCCTGATCGGACTGGTGCCGGTGGAGGTGGCGGTAGCCGGGAGAAATGGGATGCGACGCTTCCCTTGGGAATGGGTGCAGGTCCAAGGAAGCTTGGGTCTGATTCAACAAGTCCCGACCAATCGGGCTCCTTCTCGACCTGTGCAACCTCCTTCTGAGTGGACTCCTGCTCCTCAACACCCTTTGACTCCTCACGCTTTGCCTTCCTCTTGCGCTTGGGCTTCTTCTCTGCCTCACCTGCCTTCTTTGAGGACCTGTGCCTCTTCCTCTTCTTCTTTTCTGCTCCCGGATTACGGTTAGGAGCTGCCTTCTCCTCAATGCCTGCCTTCTTGTCCTCCTCGACGGGGGCTGGTGCGTCGTCTTGGATGTCCTCGTGAACCTCGGCTAGCGGCTCCTTGCCCTCCTCAATGTCACCCTCACGCTTGACTGCACTGACCTCAGGAGCACTCGGGCGTCCCGTTTCTGGTGCAATAGGCTCAATGGGAGGTGCAACAACTGGCGGCCTCGAAGGAAGGGGATCCGAGTTGTAGCCAGGCGGATTAGCCGCCACACGCTCAGCGGCCAACCTCGGAGCTGCGAGCTCCGCCAAATCCAGAAGCGCACCTGCCGCCACTCGCAGGATTGTAAGGGCCTCCTGTTCCTGGTCCCTGCAGAGAAGCGGAGCCTCGACCAGTTCACGAAGTCGTCCAATTGTCCGGCAGCACAAGCAAAGGGTGTTCTCCGACCGTGGAAAGCAACCACACCTAGTGCAGGACATGCACCGGGGCCAAGCTCAGAACCACGATCACTGCGGAACAGGCATTCATGAGGTGCATCTTAATTTACGGGGGCGAAAATACATATGAGTAGGAGGCCATTGCTACTAGGTTGGAGGCCTTCGCTACTAGGTTAAAGACACATATACAGGAACACACGTGTGAGCACACAACTGTGAGATAACCCATATGAGGGCATGAACCCTCGTGTGACAGCCCACACAGGAGCACACACACACATGAGAGCACACATATTTCAGGACACGTGGTCCAAAGACACATATGAGAGAATCGTCCAACTCCCTGGCCCTACTGGTTAGCTTTTTGGTCGTTGGTCCCATAGGTCCATAGTTCTGCCGGAGATTACTTGGTAATAATGCCACCCAATGCAGGTGCCATTTCCACCTGAACATCCTTCAATCTAATCTCAGCATCGAGCCCGCGTGACGATGATGAGATGTCGTGCCAGTGATGCTCCCCTCACCTAGCTGCCCAAACTTCCCACATCATAACGCAAAGCAGGCACCCTTGTTAATAGCCGGACCATCTGACCACTCTGAGAGGCTGGACAAAATGACTAGAGGTTGCAATACCAGCTTTTGATTATGAGGGCTTTCATGAAGAAGGAATTTGTTGTATTAACATCGCAGCCAGAGTGAATCCACAAGACGCTACCAGGAACAAAGGGCATCGCTACTAGCAGCAAGAAGCTACTACTAGCTCCTGGCCTTACTACTAGTAACAAGAAGCTGCTATTAACAAAGGGCATCGCTACTAGTAACGAAGGGCATTACTACTAATTAGTAGCGTTCTTGCTACTAGTAACAAGAAGCTACTAGTAGCCTCACCAACTCTCTGCACCAAGTGCACTCAGCCTCCGACCCATGAGGCCAACAGGCCACGCTCCACTGCGGACGCCTCATCCTGAAGCCACCGCAGTTGACATGGAAAAGGAAGGAAAAGGAACAGCCAGGGGTCCTAGCCGCTGGGGAGGAGCAATGAAAAATCTGAAGATTTGGAGATGACGAAGTGACGAAGGCAAACACAAAGTGTCAAATGCTGGGTGATCAAGGTCAACCACAAAGAGCCTTGTGCCATCTTGGGCGATTCAACGCTGGCACACACTTGCGATCTCAACCTTCAACATGGTCCAATTGCCAATCTCACTTGGTCCAATTGCCGGCAAAGCTCCTCCAAGGCACGTTGGCATAAGAGCTCTCCTCAGCCCATCTCAACAGGTGCATCAGCATGGGGAGTGAACCACACGTCAGAAGCTGTCGAAGCACCAGAAAAGCCATGTGGTCTGGCGCGTTCTTTGGGGAACCATTCAACTGAGTGATTGTATGTGATCATAAGGAGACACCAACGGGCCTATGGCTGACACGAACATTGGATGAGTTTTGTCTGAGGCATTTGCTGCAACGCCCTTGGATGTGCCTGAGTCGAGATCGCTGGAACGCAAAGTGAACCATCATAGAAGGAGGATGGCGTGATTGACCCGTGATCTGGGGCCTTGCCCCCCCATCCGCTGGCAAAAGCATATTCAAAAAAGAACAGAGTCCTAAGATGTTACCAAAGAACATCTGGCAAGCATCGGAATGTGGTCAACACATGCATCTTCCGGAAATGCTGTTATCTGTTCTTTCTTCGTTGTGGTGAGGTGATGCTCAAGATGCTTGTCAGGGAAGGCCGTTGGTTGTCATGATCCGGCTTCGAGTCCAGGTGAGGCACCGTGGTGTGCAGGGTCTAGGGTTTAGGGTGCAACATGGTGCAACCTAGTAGCAATGGCCTCCACCGGCTCCACCGCTGTTTTCTGGGCTAATTGATTGGGCTCGGCTGTTCCACTATCTTTGGGCACCTTGGAGTTAGTATTGGGTGGCTAACTCTGCACAGTGTGTGCTTTTGGGAGTGTGCCCCCAAGTGGCTGGTGTGCGATTCAGCAAGATTCTTGCGCAGCCTGTGGGGTCATGGGGATCAAGGTCATTTGGGTTTTGGAGATGCCAGCCCCAAATTCCTTTAGACTGCCGGGAGAGTGTTTTGTTGGCCACGAACTATGGAAAAAAATGCTGCTGAGACAGTGAGACATGACGAAATCGTGGACGAGTTGAGTGTGTTGGGGATGTTTGGGGGGTAATCTGGGCAATGTGAGCGTCATAGAAGCTACTAGTAACAGGTGCATCGCTAGTAGTAACAAGTGCCTTACTAGTAGTAACAATGTTTGCTACTAGTGAGCATATTGTCATAGAACGATCAAGAATCGCCCAACAGTCACCGTTTAGCTGGTGAGCCCTGGGTTGAAATCGAAGGGATTGTCCGGTTGTTGATCTTGGAAGCTCACCCAGTTTCTGCTTACTAGTAGTAAGGCCAGGAGCTAGTAGCTTCTTGCTCCGTTCGTAGCGATGCCCTTTGTTCCTGGTAGCGATGCCCTTTGTTACTAGTAGCGATCCTGGGAGTCTGCAGAGTCCTATATGATGGGCTGCTGAAGGTGTGTTGGGACTCCGGGCTTCGGATTCTCCTCTTGATCTTCTCCTTCGATGGGCATCAGGGTCCGCCTGATCAGATTCAACATTCTGTTGAGTTTAGTGCTGCCAAAGAAAGTAAATAATCAAAAACTGCCAAGAATACAGGATTTGCTTACTTGCTTGCTTCCTTACTTACTTGTGGTTTTGAAAGAGCGCTTCTAGGGCTGCAATGATCTGCCCAGTGAGAAGCGGCCTGCAAGCGCCGTGTTGCAAAATGATCTGATTTGGCAAATCGCACACGAGCCAAAATGGCTTGGAGCGGAGACCTCCCAATGTGTGTTTTCCTCGGTCCTGGACCTTTGGGACATTTCGTTGCTGTCCAAAGCCTGACATCCACATGCCTCAGCATGTGCCACTTCTTTGACGCGAACATTTGCACGCAGCCAGCGACATCCACCGAAACTCAACAGACGAGGCGAATCCACACACCCAGGCGCGACGCGAATCAATGCCGCCCTTTTTGATCCTTTTGCCGGGCCTTAAGGCCACACATCTGTTCCAAAGCTGCATCACCATGGGTTGGCGACGTCCCTTCAAAAAGGCCGCCATGTCAATCATGTGAACTGCTTTAAGGCTTCACCAGGTCCTCGATGTCCAAGTTCTTCCTTTTCTTGTTTCTGTGTGTTGAAGAGCGATGGCCTCTCTCCAACCAATAGGTCTTAAGTTACTGCCCTTTGTTTCTCCAAATGTTGCATTCATGCAGAGAGCATTGCTCTGCTCACCCATTGCCCATGTGAGAGCTGGAAAAGGCCAAGGACCAGCGCGACGGCTAGTGAAAAAAATATTATCTTAATACATGTGGGAAAGGCAGTGTCACTGCAAAACGCTACAAATTTGTGTCTATAAGTTATAAGTATATCAGTATATCCTTTAGTAGCATCTAGCAACTCAGCAAGATTTAAGACTGCTGCAACTTCGGACTTTAGAGGAAGCTAATGGTTGCTGATTTCCCACACGCACACAAAAAGTATTCCATGCTGGCACCTGCTGCCAAGGAAGCATTTAAAGCTTAACAATGTGGTGCGCATGGGGCTCGTTACAATCTCTAATCAAAGGCTCTCAAAGAGTCAAAAGGAGGCGCGAGCTCAACCTTGACAAGAAGTTAGTTTCCAATGCAAGCTGCAAAGCATCCCGTGCTGGACTCAAGCCGGCAACTCATCAAAGCGGCCTCACGCTTCGAGCAAAACAGCTTCTTGATCCCTCAGCTTTCTCTCCTTAGAAGTTACTGGAGCATCGAAAAGAAACACATCTCGGATCATCGCTGGCATGAGAGTCACTCCTTCCAGCTTATGGAGTGACATGACATCTTAATGGACGCCGCGTGAAGTTTCTACAATTTGATGAGGCTCAGTTACCATGGCCATTGCTATTAGTTTGGAGGCCATTGCTATGAGGTTGGAGGCCATCGCTATTGGGTTGGCATCACTCTACTGGATTTGACAACCTTGACGAGCTGACACAGCACATGTTCAAAGTTGAAACGGTTATCTCGGTCATGATGTAATTGGACGAGGCAGTTGTTACCTCCCCAAAAATCGGCCCTCAGGAACCAATCTGAAACTGAAAGGCCAAGGCACGAATCCACTGCCCAGGACTTCACCACCGCCAAAGGCGATGGGTGTCTTTCCCTTGACGCCCATGGGATCTTTTGCCACCTGAGGCGGAAAAATGAGAACACCTAGTAGCTTCCAACCTGCAAGCGATGGCCTCCAACCTAGGAGCGATGGCCTCCACCCTAGTAGCGATGGCCTAGCCCGCTCCCCCCGTGCCTGCCTAATTATGTAGGCGACTAGTTTGCTAGTAGCTACTTAAGCTACTACATACTGGACACAGGATAGCCCGCGCTCTTCAAGGAAGCTCCCCCGCCGCCTTTACCTTGAAGAAGCGCTGGGACTAATGATTTGGTTCCTAGATTTCGAGGAAACCTCAAAATAAGTGCCACTAGGTTGGAGGCCATCGCCACTAGGGTTGGAGGCCATACAATGGATCCTTGTTTGATCCTAGCTTTTGCTTCACTTGAGTGACCCTTGCAGTCTCTTGCTGCGAGCTGCAAATGTGTCCTTCTTCGCAAGGATGGATGGGTCAACCTCCTTCAAGCCCTGCGAGACATTGTCTTTGCCCAAGAGGGAACAGGGCAAGAATTACCGTGAAATGCTCTTGCGCACACCAAAATCAAAGGACTGACAACCAAGCCCTAGCTGCCTTTACCTATGAATCAAGGGACAGGAAAACCACTGTTCTTCAAAAAGGACAAGTTGTTCGGCAATCGTCTCTCCAGAAAGTCTGTACCCTCTCCATTGAGAAGCCTGTCCAAAAACCTGCCTTGAAAAGAGATACAAAGAGAACTACAGAAAGTTTAAAACCTATCCCAAAGGTTTGTTTTAAAGGAAAACGTACCTTAAAGAGTGAAAATCTACGAATACCTGTGAGAAAAAACAAAGGACAGGCGGTCTGTCCCAAAAGCCTACCGAGATCCACCCAAGCACCTGTACTTAGTTCCTTGGACAGCTTGTCCCCAAAACCTGCCTTGTTTCCACCTAATCGAGTTGTCAAAGAAAAGGAGTCTATCCCTACGTTGCTGTCAAAGGCTGAAAACCTAAAAGGTGTTCGAAATGTCTGTCGCAAATTCAATGCCCAAACGGATTGAAACTGGCTTTTGAAGGCACCATGTTTTCGTTTGGCACACTGCGTAGAAGGAACGAAAGGAATTCGTAGGGGAAAATCTATGCCTTGGTCGGCTCACCAGCCGCTTTGCAGGCGACCTCAAAAAATCATCATCAAAGGTCATCAGTTGACGTAGAAACTCCAGTGAGCAACCCTTTTAACCACAGCCAAAAAAAGCAAAGAACAAAATAAACCAACATAAACAATAAATCAAAAGAAAGCAACAAGAAAGAAAAATGATTCTATATTATATAAAGGATAAAAGACTGTGGACAAACACAAAGAACATCATCAAAGCTCGTCAATAAATCTCCATGAGCACAGTCCAATGAGCAGCCCTACATGAATCACTGCTCTTGTGCTAAACAACCTAATCTCTCGTCCATATATACATTATTACATATATCCCCACAACTCTCGGCTCAAAAACGCTGTGGTCTTCCTGGCAGGGTTGCACAGGTGCAATTCCTTTGCCTAACATGGTTGCTTTGGTTTGGGGAGGTCGTTCCATTTGCAGCCAAAGCCACCACTTCTGCTGCCAACTTGCCACCGAGAATTGCACCCTCCATGCTCCCCAAGAACTTCCTAAGATGCCACCAACGGCCCATAGTGGATACGGAAAGAGACTCATAGAGAAGGTATTACTGTCTATATGGTGTTGTTTTGCGATCAACTGCCAGTTTGCATCATTTTGCTACTGTTTTTCATCCATTGTTTCTCAAGTTCTGTTTCATGGAAGGCACTGGCTGGTCCAATCACCCGCGAGTGTGAAGTTTTTGATGGGAGTCTCCTGATGCGTGACTGGCAAAAGCCCAATATTGCCACAAATTCGCTGCTTCAAGGGCTGGCATTCCAATGCCTGCTCCAGTTTCTCTTGTGACAGAAGTAACACTTGCCAAAACAACGCATCAATGCGTTGGAGGCCGCTATTAGGTTGGAGGCCATTGCTTCTAGGTTTGCTTCCAAGAAGTTGACCGCAAAAAACCGTCCTGCGAAGGGCGGAACTTGTTTCGGCCGGGAATGGCTGCGTAAACACTTCTGGGCACCTGGCGACAGGGCCTGGATCCAACCCCGAGTCAACCCAAGATGTTGCGTGGTGTCTCAATGCAGAATTGGTCGTTTCATCTCTAAAGTAACCGTTCTCATTATGTCACAATTCACAATCATTGGGAAGCATTTCCAAGCACCAACCAAGAGGAAAATAAACCAAAAACACAAACTCCGGCGGTTGAAGCCTTTACCACAGCGTGCTTCAGCAGCTTCGCTCCACCTGGGCTGGTGAGCCCCGGTTTCGACTTATATATGTGAGTTGCTGGTGGCCTGTTTTGAATCCTTCCCATCGACTAAAAACAAAGCTCACAAGCTGGGGGCACTACCATCTGGCAAGTGTTCCCCGATCTCCGTGGGAAATAGTCTTTCCAGCTCCTGCCGGGTGGTTCCATCGATGAAACGACTCGTCTCCTAGTCATTCCTGGTGTTTAGACCTTGCCTCGCCTGCCCCCGAGTCTGTCAGGACCCATCCTGCCTTCATGGTCGCCGCCACAATCTCCTCGTCACTCTTGCCCATCCTGAACGGCTTCTGACGGAACGTCGCCAGGAAGGAAATGCACATGAAACACATGGCATTGTGGTGACATGTCACACGCCAAGAGTCCAATTGACACCTCCCCCCTGCAATGGGTGAGCATGGGGCGAAAACCAGTTCTAGCATGGACTTGTCCTGCCCAGCGCAAATGACGTGAAGCCACAAATAAATAGACCAAACATGATGGAGATGTCTCCACATACCGTGCGCGTTGTGCAGGCACCGGCTCAACAATCTGGCCTAAAGTTGCCTTGATGTAGCGACCTTGCTCCTAGTAGTAAGGCCAGGAGCCCCTAGTAGCTTCTTGCTCCTAGTAGGGAACATTAAATTCCCCAACCTCGCCAACTGCAGCTGATCTACAGTACGCGGGTTGGTCTTCTGTCCTGGTCCTCATACTCTTTGCCTGAATAGAGTGTTCAGCTCAAAGCTGACAAAGGAAAATAACAAATTGAGCGGTCTGGTGACAACTGGTACAACACAGCTCGCAGTCAAGCTGCAGCAGGTGCTCATATCAGCATAAACGGAAAGAAGAGGGCTCCTGCTGAAGCACAAATGATTGACATTGAGGAGCCTCAGGGTGCCAAATCAATCCATTTATAAGACTGGCAGCTTGACGCGCTTCACCTTGCCATTATAACCATCCGAAAAAGCAATTGCCTTCCCACCTACTAGTGATGGCCTCCAACCTACTAGCAATGGAACAAAAATCCAAGAAAACACAAATTGGTTCGGAATCAAGGGTCTTTCTGTCAAACCAAAGATGAATGTTAATCACAGGGATGCCCTCCAGCTCGTCAATCTGTCTGAAGAATGGGTCCGTAGACCAAGCTCGGGGCAAAATGCGTTTCATGATGTCGCAAGGTACCTTACAAAAGCAGAGTGAACGAGATACTGGCATCACGGAGTTCTACAAGAATCGACCCAAGGTTCCGCTTCATGCAGCAGATCAACTATCAGCCCAAAGCAACAATTCATGAAAAAAGAACCTCTCTGATAACCTGCGAACTATCTGATTCTCTGATCACCTGTCAGCCTTGAGACATTTGGAAGGGCTTGATCATTCGCGCCTGAGCATCCTGAGCAAAACAAAAGGTTCTTTTTCCACGCAGGTGGCCGCGCAGCATCAAGTTCTCACGCAGGTGGCCACCGTCACGTTCTCATTGAGAAATGCTTGTGCCCGATCGGGTTGACTTTCTTGAAGGGCTACGATCCACTGAGGAGTCGTAGAGAAGAAACTGGAAAAGGGCCCTCGAGAAGCTTGTGAAGCACAAAATGACTTGTACATAATTTCTTCTACAAACCTGGTGCCAATGTAGCTCTGAATCCTGTTGTTGACATGACTGGCCATGTCTTCAAATGACATCGCGCTGAGACGCTCTTCTAGCGCTTCCGCCCGCTGTCTGGAGTCCACCTGGATCGTCACCAGAACGTCAGACGTCATTGATGTCACGTTCTGGTCGTTCGTCCAATTCATCACCTCGTACATGACGGAAATACTGCTCCTTTTGATGTTGGCATCGGCGTCAATTCCAGCCAGGCCAAATCTCAACATCTTGTAACAAGCTCTGTTCACCAGCTTTAATCGGTTTGCAGAACATCCAACAAACGTCAACCTCATCCGGCCCCCCACGCTGAAGCTGTCAGAGCTCAGCACATCGGCCTCTGAGTCCACATCAGCGTCTTCGGGCGTGTCAGGCTGAAGAAACAGAATCAGAAGACAAATCAGCCCACCAAAGACTGTCAACAGAACCAGCACACGGACAGCACAGCAAAGCCAGGATCTTCTCTTCAATGGTGGCACTTCTGTTTGCACTTCTTGCAAGGAGTCTGAATCTACAGGGAGCCCTATGACAACATTGCCAAGCTCAGATTCTTCCTCAACTGGCCTGTAATCTTTCAGGCCTTCTCTCTGTGCCATTGCCGGCTTCTCATTATGCTTTGCTTCGGCGGGGGGCCTCTCCTCTAGTGTGCCTTCTGGACTGTGACGCCGTTCTTTGGGAACGTCTTGAAACTCCCCCGACATGGCTACGCCAGGCGGAAAGGAAGCCAATGACGCACCCTCTCTCTATCTCTCTCTGGGCCAGCAGGGCCAAACGTCATGCGGAAAGAATGCGTCTCAGCAGTTTCATGCCGTTTCTGGTGCTGTTCAGCCACTGCGAGTCGCTAAAACCATCACATGCAGGGGGAAAAACGCGTTGTTGTCATCCGGGAGTCACTTTAGCAATAAGCCTACATATATATATATATGTGTGTGTGTGTTATATGTATGTCTATATAATATATATATATATGTCTGACTCTATTTATGGCTCTGGGCTGTGACGAAGGCACTGAGGAGACATACTCGTCTGCCACAACCTCCTGGCCATTTCGCAGCTTAAAGCACTTCACAGAGCCATCTTCATTGGTCTCAATTCCTGAAGGCCAAGAGAGTCTCACCTTCTCCAAGAACAGCGCATGCTCTTCAAACTGATGTTGAAATCGAACTGCTTAGGTTGAATTCTGTGTTGCCACTCCTTTCAGCTCAATTTTAGCATCACAACGTGGCCACGCGGCATTGCCAAGGTGCTGGCCAGGGGCTTCTCGCAAAGAACTTGGCCACCTCTTGATTCAATGTATTCCTTCAATGGCTCACACAGACGCACTGTCTGATTTCCATCGATGAAGGCCATTTGGAGGCCTGAAGGAGGTCCGAGCAAAGGGGAACCACCTCCGTTCGTAGCAATGCCCTTTGCTCCTAGTAGCTTCTTGCTACTAGTAGTAATGCCCTTGTTACTGATAGCTTCTTGTTCCTAGTAGTAAGGCCAGGAGCCCCTAGTAGCGTCCTTGCTCCTAGATATAGGTTGAGAAAGGTCAGAAAATTGTTGGAAGGAGCTCCAAGTAAGGTTGCTTCATCTCGTCTTTATCGTTTCTTTAGGACATCTAGCATACATTGCATATGTATGCATATGATGTTGTAATGAATATTCTTTGTGAGAGCCAGACTGGCAAAGGGAGCTGAACCACAAGCGATGGAACAAAGCGAGGACATGGCCATGGGTGACTTTTTGGTCTCGATTCAAGGCACCATCGGTCTCATTCAGGAATCGGTTCATAGCAGTAAGGACCACGGTCATGGAGAGCTTCTCGGGATCAATAAAATCCAACGCCTTTGCCATCGCAATGAAGACCTCCGTGTTGATCCTCCAAAAGATCGCCCTCTTTGACACCGAGCGATGCCCGTATTTCTAGTAGCGATGCCCTTTGCTACTAGTAGCTTCTTGCTACTGGTAGCAATGCCAGGAGCTACTAGTAGCTTCTTGCTCCTGGTAGCGATGCCCTTTGTTAATAGTAGCTTCTTACTAGTAGTAGCAGAAAATCCTCACAAGCTGGCCTGTCAGGCATGCCGTATTTCTCCATAAAATTCAAGACCTCATGGCATGCCGTATGTCCAAGAAATCGCTTCTACTGGTCTCCCTCTAGCATCAGCAGGTCGGGCGGGATTTTGCAATCAGAGTGGCTGAGAGCTCGTCTTGCAAATCGATGAACTTCTGCCCTTCCACCAGCATTGGCAGGAGCGCTGGAGCAGTTTGGAGCTTTTCAGGGAGTGTAAGCATCTTCCTGGGATGTGCATCTGTCGTTCTCGTTCTCTCTCTCTCTCTCTCTCTCTTTTCTCTATTCACCTCGCTACGATGAACCATGGCTTCTAGGAAAAACCGAATGTTGAGGACACTACAGGACAGATTTGAACAAGGGACTGATTCAGTAGGATGGACAGTCCAAAATTGAAAGGTGCTGGAATGCCCTCCAAGAAGTCGAAGGTGGTAAACTCACCCGGCAACTCCTGAGCTTCATTGTGGGTGTTCTCATGTCGTGCCTCTCTCCTATCATGTGCGGCCAACAGAGAAACACAAGGGCAAAATGCGACCACGAGCAGTCGACTAGAAGGGGCAGGTGGAAGTTCCAGTGTAAAACAGCCCTGCACAGCGCCTACTTTTCGCAACATGTTTGAACTGCAGCGCATCCTTGAAAAGTGAATGTGGCTTTGGATTGCATTCACCTTGAACTTAAAACCTCCCGAAACCAAAGGTGCTCAAATGTCCTCTGGATTGGGAGGAAAACACACGGGGAAGACTCCAAGAAAGTGCAACCGCCCCGCCTCGAGAGGCAATCAAAACCCAAGGGCACACAAAAGGAGCCGCGGGTTGCGACTTACTAGTACCAGTAGTAGCAAGGAAGTTACTAGGAGCAAGGGCATCGCTACTAATAACAAAGGGTATCATTTCTAGGTAACATCTTTGCCGCCACAACCTCACAGGCATGACAGGGTGCCCTCGCAGGCATGATTGGTCCACTATCACAAGCATGTCTCAGACAACGTCGCAGGCATGATAGGACCGGCCACCATCACAAACACGAATGACCAAAACACGCCGTCACACCGTCACAAGCATGACCGGGACCCATCACAAGCATAGCCAGACCACGCTAAAGCACTACTGGGGAACGAGGATTCTGGTCAACAAGGATCTTGAAGCCAAAAACCAGCAGCACAAAAGCCGTTGCTCTTCTTACATGCTCAGGGCTTGCCCACCTGCATCGCAAAGATCATCTGATGGCGTTTCCACTGCAAACGGTCTTCGATGTCCAGCTCTGAGAAGAGGTTCATCCTGGGCACCCACAACATGCCACACACACCGCACAGTGAGAGTTCAACATCATTTAAATCAGTTCTCATCAAGTCCTTTCGCTCGAGAAAGCCAAGATTGATTTTCAATATGTATTTCCTTCTTGACTCTCAATGCTCACATGAGCTCTTTTAGCCTTTCGCAGAGCTTCATGTTGGGATAGGCGCCGAAAAATATATGCAAGCCTCGAGAAATCATTGCCATTTATCATTTATGTAACAAGTCGTTTGATCACCATGGCCACATCTTTCCACATCTTTCCCTCCCCCAGGTGTGATTTAAGGTTGACATCAGCAAGAGTTAGTGCTTACCCAGTGGCCGGTCTCCACCCAGTCGCCATCCTTGTCTTTCCAGGCAGAGACTTTGCCCCCTTGCTCCACGCAGCTTTAAAACACACGTATATCAAAACAAGTCATAACATGTTTTAAGCTTTGCAGTTCATAGCTTTCATATCAAAAGCTTTGCAGTTCTTTCTTTCTTTTGTCATGTTCTTTGACACTGATGCACCTCTCAAAAATAACACACGGTCGACACAAGACCTCGCTTCATGCCGTGGCTAGCCGCGGCACCAAGACACATGGCTTCGCCAAGTGGCCCAGGCAGTCGCGAGCTTCCAAAACAATAGGCTTATGCCCTGCATCCACCAAATACTTGGCACATGCCAGGCCTTGTTCTTTTGGCTGTCTTGTGGCAGGTGTCTTGTTTGATAATTCAATTCATCGATTAGATTCACGAAGCTCAGAATGGACACGTGCAAACATAGAGAGGGGCCTGAGAGGCCACCACCAATAATGGCAACCTGAGCGTACTTTTCACAAAGATCTGTTTGCTTCTTGTTACTAGTAGCAAGAATGCTGCTAGTAGTAAGGCCAGGAGCTACTAGTAGCGTCCTTGCTCCTAGTAGCGATGCCCTTTGTTACTGCAAATGGTCACAACATCTCGCAACATGTCGCAACCCAGGCATACCTGTGAAAGGGGTACAGTAATTGAAGTGTCCCTAGAAATCATTAGTGCGAGTGCTTCTTCAAGGAAGCTCCCCCCACCGCCCTAGGGGGAGCTTTCTTGAAGAAGCGTCTTCGCTATCCTGCGTCCAGTTCGTAGCGTCTCAGAAGCTAGGAGCGAACAAGTAGCTTCCTCCCTTACTTAATGAAGTAGGCGCCTACGGAAATCAAGTAAGATGAGGAGGCAAGCGCCAAGCGGGCAAAAAAAGGACAAGTCAAGGCAAGAGACCGTCTTGGATTCCCCCTTGCCCTTCAGTGCCATGAGCTTCTGCGTCAAAGCTTCTGATTCTTTGTAGTTGTCCTTGGAACGGCAACTCGCGGAACCACTGCTCCAAATCAAACTGTCAGCAACCAATCCAGGTGATGCTAGAAATGACAGCGCAAGCAATCAGAACCACCAGCACCTGGAAGCTCACTTTGCTTCAGCCTCAAAATAAGCCGTTCCTTCCGAGGCCTACGCAAAATGTCCTTCCTGCGGCTCAGAGACTGTTTCGTTAATGCAGCTGGGTTTGGGAAAGTCCTTGGGGTCTTCTGGCTCATTTGTTGCAGGATTCACTGTCCTCCGCAAATTTGCTCCCTTGAGACTCCATCATGACTCTGGGAACACGATTGAACAATGCATGATGTGACTTGCGGGTGGACCTCCATAACTCACAAACCTTGAACAAAAACGAAAAGCAATGACTGATGTGTTGGAGGCCATCGCTACTAGGTTGGAGGCCATCGCTACTAGGTTGCAGGAAATTGCTATTATTTAGGTCAGGTCATTGAACTTACGAACCAAATCATGAGCATCTCATGTCTGTCGACCGACACGACCAGCGGTCGAACGACGCTCCAACCGCTCCTGGTTCGTGACTCCGTCGCCAGGACCTTCGTCCGCCGGGTGCGACCAGCGGCCACAGCACAGGCGGCACCGCCCACGATGAGGCTGGAGGATCTCAGACCAGGCAGCTGGGGAAGGGGAAAACAAACGAAAAAACATGTCTGATAAAAAGGCCTTAGTAGGCAACCAATGAAGCTCAGAAGAATCAACTTTGTATTCTGACACTCTTGCGTTCCGTCTGGTAACAGTAGCAAGTGATAAGGCCACGAACTAAGGGCATCGGTGTGCTACCGTGTAAAGGGAAAAAAGACTCCAACAAAACAGTTTCCATTCACTCTAAGCTTGGAGGTCTGATTCGCGCAAAGGCACTTCATGCCATCTGCTGGTGGGGCCTCCGGGTCAGTGGCCGCTCTAGTGTAGCATTCCAAGGTGATGTTTGACATGTGTGACATATGCAGCACCATTGTCATCTCATCTCATATTCTTCCTTATATATATAAACGGTGGACATTGTCAGCATGCATCATACTGGTTACTATACTGGCGATATCCCCATGGGCTTTTCTTCTGTAGGATCATTTCGCATGAGGCCCTTTCTGAGCACTTGTTGTTTTCTACACACATTCGTCAGAACATGGTATACATGTATAGAACATGGGTATCTCCAAAGCCAAAAGCCGCTTGACAGCTCAGCTTGGAGGCGGTCGAAAATGACCTCTGCCTTTCAACTTCATCAGACTGGACACACCTCCAATTGTCTCAAAACATCTCAAGACCAAGACATGGTCACGTTGAAAGATGAGGACACCTTTGCTTGCTTCAACAAATGGGAGCAAGCGGCCTGGACACTGGCCACTTGCCAGCTCGGCCGCCGAAAATGCACAAAACTGCTGGCCGCAACAGTTCACGACCTGCTGAACAAAAAGGTCATCCAAGCGCTGCGTTCACACGCATTCCCTCCTTACTTCGACATCTCACATCTCCATCATCTTTAGATTTCTGTCTCCTTCTGCGCAGTCGCGGCCACCTTCGGCTCTGGCAAGTTCTCAAGGTCCGGTTGAGGCTCCAGGGCATCCTCCTCGTCTGCATCAGGATAAGAATCCAAATACTTAAGCTCTTCAGCAGTGAACATGAACCTCAAGGCCTTGCGGATGATGGCCAGGGAGGCCGTGAAGAATGGGAATACCACGGAGGTCTCCTTGATCGCCTTGAGGCCATAGAGGATTGCCAAGCAAATGAGCTGCACAAAGGTATAGAGGTGCACCCGCTTGACGGGCAATTTTTGGATGTACATGTAGGCGGGGTAGTTCTTGGGTTCCTAAACCAACCACAGGAACAATCGATCAAAGAGGTTGTTGCCTGTCAAAGATGCGATACCCATGTAGAAGAATACTCCTTGAAGTACTGAGCGTGGCAAGAACTTCAGCACGGGCGCCAAGAAGAGTGCGCAGCCAATCAAGACGCGGATGAGGAAGTTCGTAGCTCGTTGCTCCACGACCTTCACCGGCACCTTGCGCTCACCCTTGGGCAGCTGCTGCACCTCGTAGGTTGTGAGGGAGATCACGTGGGTGATAGAAGGCACTGTGGATGCCACCGAGAGCGGCAAACCCAAAATGGCGTAAACGGGGAGCGTCAAAGCACCCCGCACAAAGAGGTCCAGGTGGTAGCCGGGGCCCTTCTTGAGGTTGTTGGAGCAAGCACGGCGAAGCCAACAGCAGGCAGGATGGCGAAGAAAATGCCCCACACAGGGAACTCGGTCTCAATGCCCATAGGGTTCACGATCCAGGGGCGCTTTGCGCCAGTGCTCAAGGTCAGTGCTGGCGCAAGTTCCGCCTCCACGTTCAGCATTCGCAGATTGGTCTCCGTCTTGTAGATGGCGGCCAACGCACTGGCCGTGATGATCGAAATGGTCACGGCAAAGTTGCCAAAGAAGTTCCGCAAGGGTCGGAGCAGCCATGGAGTGCGGCGGAAGTGGGACAGGTAGGTGGCGAGTCCAAAGGTGTAGAGGAAGAGCAATGCCTCGAACATGGCGCTCATCAAGGGCATCGAACTGGTGCCGCCACCCCAACCGTCGGAGAAGTTCTGGATGATGGGCCGAATGCCATCGATGATGAAGATCAAGGAAATGATGCCAGCAAAAATGTCCTCGCTGAACATGGTCACGTGCTTCATGAGGGCACGAAGGTCGAAGAGCGCCACCACGATAGTGAAAAAGGAGCACCACATGCAGGTCCAGAAGTACAAGGGCATGAACTCCAAGTTCATAGCGATGCCCAAGTCATAGACGACCAAGGTGTAGGCGAGGAAGGGGCCAGTGGCACCCAATATTGACAGCGGCTGACCGGAAAAGGTGCTGAACAGCACTCCACTGATGGCCGTGGACATGATCATCTCCAGCACGCCAAATTGGCCATTGGTGCCATCCAAGAAACGACTGCCAAATGTAATGGCTGGCGCCAAGGCGGCAATGAAGAGATAGAGAATGGTGGACGCAGACTTCTGCATGTTCTCGGGACGGAAGGCATCTGTCCAGTCACTCGCATAGAACGGGGCACGGCGCTTCAAGTCAGCCCACAAGCCACCACCAATACGGCCGGTGAAATCCAAAGGACCCAAGTCCTTCTTCGCGCTGGTCACAATCCATCCGGAATGGTCACGGATCACTGCCTCAGCCTCACTCATTCTTCCCTTCGAAGTGTGGGTTTGCAAGAGAGAGAGAGAGAGAGAGATGATGCAGCTGTTTTGAGTACTAAAACTTGAGCCCAAAATTTCCTGAGTGTAACAAATTTACTGTGAGACTCTTTTTGAGTGATCAAGTGTTGGGCACTTCACGTTCTGTTTTGTTTTGCAAGTGCGTCAAAACATTGGCATTTCCAAGGTCAAAGCCACCCGAAGAATTCATCAATAGGATCCATGCACATTCGGGCACATAGCATGCCGCCATAATTAATGATCGCTTCCGTTCCTTTGAAGAACTCCAAGCATGAGACTACACTACTCTACCTAGACGCCTTGGGTTTGCCACTGCTTGCTGTGCTTGCAAGCTGCTTGCATTACGGGACCTGCCTTTGGCGGAGTCTGCTGTGCACGCAGCAAGGGTAGCGGTGCTGCACCATGCAAAGGCTGGACAAATGCGAGGCTCATGACCTGAGCATCAGTGAAATCAACGCTTTTCTTTTGTAAAACGTGAAAGAGGGCTTCTACCAAATCCTTGCTTTTGTGGGAAATGGTCGGTGGGCACCTTTGCAAGCATCTGCCTGCTGCTTGCGGCATCTTGCGAGACATACCTGACATGCATGTCATGCCTCTACTTTGCACCTAAACTTTCTAGGCATCAGGCCAAGGAGGAGAGAGCTCAGCTTCGCCTTTGGTTGTTCTGACAAAATGCTCGAGCCGAGATGGTCAGCCTCGAGCTCTGGGGTCTGATGAGATTGTAGAACATAAATAGGTGCTGTGTGTGTGCGTGGCCACTAGAAGCCACTAGGTGGAGGCCGTCGCTATTAGGTTGGAGGCCATTGTGACTAGTAACAATAATAAAGCTGTAAAGTTCACGCTGTGCACTTGTGTTTCGGCAGTTCGAACTGTTTTCGACCTTCACTTACCGTCGTTCCCTCTCAAGACTGGGAGGGCAGTTGCCTTGCAAAAGGCGCGGCCGCGGCGCTTCAGTGCGCCCTCTTGTTTTCGTGCTTGCGGACTTCGGGTGCCGCTGCTACCTTTTTCGCATTGGTAGCGGAGCCTCCTCCGGGGGGCTCCGAGTCCTTTGCGCGAAGAAGAACGAGGTTCTGCATAAGTCCTTTGTCACGAACCCTTGGCCGAGCTCTTTTGTTTCCTCGTTGAAGAGCCCTTTCGGTCTTGGCTACTTGTTTGAGAATGCCACCAACGACATCGGCTGCAGAAGGTTCCAAGGATGGTGACTACCTCAACCTGCGCGACTCCTTCGTTCCACTGTTCAGTGGACAACCCCAGGACTACAAAGAGTACAGAAAGAGGCTGATGCTCTACCACCACAAGATGAAGATCAGCAAGCGCTCAGCCGAGTCCGTCCTGAACATCCTGGGAAGTTTTCAGGGTGTGACGCGGCGGTTGTTCGAGGACTTCTCAATTGAAGAGGCTGAGAAAGAGGATGGCTTCAGCAAGATCATCACCAAGCTCGACAAGAACTTCGAGTATGACGATCGTGTGCTCCTTCCGAATGACTTTGAGGAGTACTTCAACTTGTTGCAAAGGAAGCCACAGCAAAGCCTCCTGTCCTTCGTCACCGACCATGACACCGCCTATCGTCGTTTGACTGCCCACAATGTGACTCTTCCAGTCCAGGTTCAAGGATGGCATCTACTCCGACGTGCTGCTTTGTCAAAGGAGCAACGCCAAATGGTGACGCTGAAGGCTCCTACGTTGGAAAAGAATCCTGTCATCGAAGCCCTGTACCTGCTGTTCGGTCAGGACTACAAAGCAGGCGGCTGGAATGCTGAACGTGATCGAAAGTTCAACCGCTGGAAGGGCCGCGGCTACGCCGCATTCGATGAAGAAGATGCCTACTGGTCCGAGCAACCCTGGACAGAAGACGCCTACTATGAGGCCGACGACTGGTATGATGACACTGCCCCTGACGATGAGGCTGACTTTGACTATGACGCCATCTACTACGGCGAAGAGGATGAACCTGGAGAACACCATGACCTGTCCGAAGATCCTCAAGAGTTGGCCGAAGAGTATGACCACGCCTATATGCCACCTACTTGGATGCCCGGCAAAGATTCCAGCAGCTCAAGTTGGCTCGTGGCTACCTGCCGATCGTCGCCCTCACTGATGGCCAGAACGCTTCGCCCGCCTCTGGATCCTCTTCACCTTCGAAGGGCGCCGGCAAGAACAAAGGAAAGGGCAAGAGCAAAAGCAAGGGAAAAGGAAAGAATGTGGTGCGCTATCCACCCTCCTCAGGTGGAAAGGCTGATCCAAAAGGTCGTGCAAAGGCAACTACATGCCTTCGTTGTGGCCAACCAGGTCATTGGGCAGCGCAATGTCCACAAGGTGCGAAATCACCCTCATCGTCCAACAAGAGACCTGCACCCACTGAGGGTATGGCCTTGCAGAATGAGACCGCCTTGGTCCTGTTCCAGGATGAGATGGGCACCGACCGACCGGATGCCACCATGCTTGACCCAGGTGCATCTGCCTTCCTGTGCGGATATGGTCCATTCGGCCGCTATTTGAGCCACTTGCACTCCATGAACTACCCCATCAACACCATCCGCTTTGCTCGATGTGACCGCCAGTTCCATTTTGGCGGCGATGCATCCTCACGAGCTTCATGGACAGTGGATCTCCCGGTGATGATCGATGGCCAGTTCGGCGCGATCCAATGCTACCTGGTTCCTGGCAACACGCCAATGTTGATGGGCCGACCTGTGATTGAGGCTCTGCACATGGGCATCGACTTCAGCCAGAAGCGCATTCGCTTTGGGCAATCGCCTTGGGCCTCAGTGCTTGTGGGCCGCCATGGCGAGTACTTGTTGAGCCTCACCACTGGCATGGAGGAAGTACCTGATCCCACGAAAACCCTATTCAGCCTTCGCATTGCTGAGGAAACACCTGGCAGCCATCTCCACTTCGAGGACTTTAACAAGCTCGAACATGTGTTTCAGGCTGAAGATGTGGCTCTAGCAGGTGGCGAATTGCAATCCACTCGCCTTCATCGACATGCCCTTCGAACCATGGAGACTCAGTTGGTCACTACCTCAAACTCCACCGAAGCCTATATCACTCAGGAGATTCACAATCCTCCCGACCATCGACGAGTTCTCTGGGAAATCTATTGTGGCAAAGCTCGCACTGGCCACATCGCAGAGGAGCTTGGCATGAAGGTGGAAAGTTTTTCTTTGGACAATGGCTGGGACTTCAACCTCATCAGCCATCAACAACAGCTACTCCAACGACTTGATGAAGAAGAACCTGATGAAGTGCTGGTGGCACCAGAATGCCGCCTGTGGTCAAGAATGCAAACCTTGGCTTGTCGCACCCCTGCACAGCAAGAAGCCTTGAAGGCTCGACGTGAGCACCACCATCGTCGCCATCTCTGCTTTGCCAAGCGCATCTACCTACGACAGGTGACCAATGCACGGCATGCCCACTTGGAGCAGCCCCGACATGCCTTGAGCTGGAACACGATGGCTCTCCGAGATCTTCCTGGTTACCATGCCGACTTCGACCAATGCCGCTATGGAGCAATGTGCATGGACACCGACGGCATCTGGCGACCTGTCCAAAAGAGCACTCGCCTGTTGACCACAAAGCAGGCTGTTTTAGAGGCCTTCCAGCTGAAGTGTGACCATGACCACTACCACTGCCCCTTGGAAGGTTCTGCTCCTGGCTATGGCCGCCGGACCACCTACTTGGAAGACTACCAACCTGGCTTTGCAGCGACACTGGCTGCTGCCTTGGCTCGTCCTGAGACCGCTCAACTGTGGGACACCGCCTATGTGGTCGATGAAACTGGCAAGAAAGAGACCGGACACCTCCTCAAGCTCAAGTCTGAACACCGACAAGATGCTCTTCGAACGGTGCAACGGCTACACCGAAACCTTGGCCATCCGGCACCTGATGCTCTGGCTGATCTGTTGACCGCCAGAGGAGCTCATCCCACTGTGATCGCCGCTGCCAAGGAGTACAAGTGTGTGGCATGTCTGAAGCACAAGAAGCCCAACCAGGTTGCTCCATCATCCATGCCACAGCCCAAGACCTTCAACGAAGCGATTCAGGCTGACGTTTTCTACCTCAAGCCAGCAGACCGCAAGTTTGCAGTGCTGAGCATAGTTGATGTTGGCACCAAGTTCATGGCAGCCTACCTGCTTCATGAGGAGACCTCCAAGTCCTACATCACCGCTCTGGAAAAGATGTGGGTTCGCCATTTTGGCCCTCCCAAGAAGCTGATCTCCGATGAAGGCCGACCTTGGCTTGGTGCACCGTTTGAATCTTGGACAAGCTCACTTGGCATTGACCATCAAGTAGCACCAGGAGAAGCTCATGAGCGCCTTTCGTTGGTTGAGCGCCGTCATGCAGTGCTGCGCCGTGCCTGTGAGGTCTACATGGATGACCGCAAGCTCAACGACGCTGCTGGCATCAAGGAAGCACTTTGCTATGTGATCCCACAGCAGAACGCCACACCTGCAGTTGCTGGCTTCTCGCCCAGTCAATGGGTTCTTGGCTTCCAACCTGAGCTGTCCCACCTCATGGACTCCAACCTCAATGCAGCTCAACTTGCTGGCAACAACAGCTCATTTGAGGAGAACCTTGAGCGGCGAACTGCTGCAAAGATGGCACTGGCATCTGCTGATGCTGACTCCAAGCTGCGACGAGCTCTCAGTCGCAAGTACCAGGGCCAGAATCGAGTTTTCCAGTTGGGAGAAAGAGTATGGTTTTGGCGTGATGCTCGCCAAGGAGCCCTGAACAAGATCAGATGGCTTGGTCCTGCCCACGTGGTTCTTCGTGAAGAAGATGCTGAAGCTGATACTGCAGCTCCAAAGGTCAAGACCTACTGGCTCGCCTACAAAACACAGTTGATTCGTGCTGCGCCTCACCATGTCCGTGCAGACATCCTCGGACCTCAGCACGTGCTCGAAGACCTGCAATCAGCCCTCAACAAAGTGAGACAGCTGAAATCCCGTGGAGTCACTAGATTCTACGACTTGAGACGGGTGAACCGCCAACAGCTGGATGATGTCGAGGAAGATGAACAACACACTGACCCTGATGGTCCTCTGCTGGAAGAAGATGATGATGAGCCTCCCAGGCATCGCTTTCGCCTGGAGCCACCCGTACCGACTGCAGAAGCACCACCACAGATCATCGTGCCCGATGCTGAATATGAGCCTACCTCACCTGCTCATTCCAGCTTTGCACCGACGTCTCCCAGAGCACTACCAACACCAGTGATGGCAGAACCAAACATGTTGCTGCCCATGGCCCCAGCCGAGATCACTGTACCAGGTTCACCAGCCACCACTAGGTCCCGCTCACGGGCTCCTACTGTGGTCGAACCCAGCGAAGAGCCAACCATACCATCTGCAGCACCCACACCACATGCTGCATCACCACCGGCTATTGCAACAGCACCTCAAGCATCAATGTCAGGGCCTTCACTGGACCCT